CTTTTCCAATCTCCTCTCAGGATTCTGGGCATGCGAGCGCGTGCACCTGGGGTGATTTTCAAGCGGCCGGATCCAAGATTCAAACCACAGTCAGCCATAAGGGAGTCCAGTGCCTTCGCCACCACACCCCCTGCTGGCCCCTGTATTTTTAGAAATCTTCTTTTAAAAGAACCGTATCACCTGGGCCAGCCTATGACTTAGTGACGGAGGTGGCTGGACCCCACATGGCTGACTGTGCAGTTCAAGTCCCGGATCTGGTAGCTTGAAAAACACACTTGGCATGTGGGCATGTGTGCCCCAAACCCTGAGAGGAGGACAGAAGAGAAGGAGTCATGGTGTGGCCATCCCCCATGGAGGGTGCTTTCTCACTTTTCTCACCCTCCATCTGTATCTCTCTCATGATCCTCCAGAAAAAGTTAAAACAAATGAACAAACTATTGGGTTGTCAGAAAAGTGACATGTTTTTCTATGCAAAAAATGCCTCTCAACTTTCCCGACACCCCATATATTCCCTAAAAGAGTTGGCGTATTCCGCCGTGGTCTTCCGTGGACCCCTTGGCACAGAGGAGCTCCCAGATCCCTTTCAAATGGAACACTGCGACAGGGACACAGGCAGAAATTGTGGGAGGGCAGACGGGAGGTGGGGGATCCCTGCTGCACAAGGCACTTGAGGTTTTGCTCTGACAGACACAGAAATCGGGCAGTGATGTGTGGGGACAGGAGCGGAGGCAGCCGGAGACGCCTAGATGGTGAGGACAGGGGCCAGAAGGTTCACAGAGTGGAGAGGAGGCAGCGAAGACAGATGGCTCGTTCCGTGAGCTGAGTGCGGCCCTCGACTCAGGTAAATCTTTCCCTGCACCTTACTGTCTGTTCTGGCGGTCCAGTCTACACAGCAGCTCTGCACCTGACCCCACAGAGGGCACTGGTGAAAATGGTAAGAGAACTTCAGGATTTGTTCAAAACATACGTGCACACTCAAGGTTTGAGGGTTTTGATTATTTTTCAGGCCGTACCTTATTTAGAGGTTCTTACAACAACCATCTACCATTCTGGATCCCACAGCTATCTCCTTTGGGCAGCTTCTGGGAGGAGTCTGACTTTCAGTGCACACAGCAGTCAGGGCCCGCCGAGGGACCGCTGGTGCTGAGTCTGTTCCCAGTGACTTCACTGCGTCTGTCCATCCATTACTAGTATCGTGACAAGTACAGAGTCAGGCTTATGGGTAAGAATATCAAAGACAGAATTTCCCTGAACAAAACATAAAAAACCTGGGGACCAGCAGTTGGCGTAATGGCTATGTCGCTGGGTTCCCATGTAGTCAACTGTGGTTCAAGTCCCAGACGGGGTGGCTTTAACTCACGCTGGGCACGTGTGAGTGTGTGCCCAAGATCCCAAGAGGAGAATGGAGGAGAAGCGATTGTGGCGTTGGTCACCCCCCCGGGGGGTGATTTCTCCCTTTTTGTCTCTCTGCCTCTCTCTTTCTTGCGAGTGCACATGCCCAATAGCAAAAACCTCTCAAAAAAAAAAAAAAAGATCTGCACCCAGAATTTACATATATCATAAAAGTTGTGTATTCGAGGTGGCAAATTGTAGGGTCACTTTTTCTCAGAGTACCGCCCGTGAGAGCCATCCAGCTACCCTGTCGTTTAGCAAGCGGTGGAGGTGGTGGTGTCCCTTCAGGCTTTGGGGCCACCCCTCTACGACCAATAGGCAGTGTCACTGGCTCTACTTTATGCCGTGTAGGTGCATCTTACATCCGTTGTCGGCGTCATGACAAATGACAACGAACGTAGCGACTTAAACAACAGAGCTAGTTTTACGAAGTTAGAGGTTCAACTGTGGACTCACCTCATCAAAAACAAGGTGTTAGCAAGACTGATTTCTGGAAGCTCGGGGAGAGAATCAGTTTCCTTGTTCATTTATGTTGTCCGAAGTACTGAGTTCTGGGCCAGCGGGTGGGGCAGAGGTCAAGGTAGCTGGATCCCACAGAGCTGACTGCACAGTTCAAATCCTGCCAGAGGCTTGAAAGTCATGTGGGGTACATGCACATGTGTGCCCAAAATCCCAAGAGGAGAAGAAAAGAGAAAGGACTGTGGCATGGCCAGCCCCCAGGGAGGTAATCTCTTCGGTGAGCACACGCATCCTACAGCAAAAACAAAACAAACAAACACAAAGGTACATAGTTCCTCGTGGCCCAGGGACTGAGGTTCCAGCCTCCCTGCTGGCTGCAGCTGGAGGCCGCCCTTAGATCCCAGAGGCCTCGCTGGGTTCGGCACATGGCAGAGACACTAGAATTCGCAGCTGGGTGCTCAGTCCTTACTCTGTCCTCTTTCCTACCCCGCTTCTGCCTTCATCTTCTCCTACTTTTAAAAACTCAAGTGCTGAGAGGCCAGCCAGTGGTGTGGTGGTTAAAGTACTGGATCCCACAGGACTGAGTCTGTAGTTCAAGTCCCAGGCCTGGTGACTTGAAATACATGCTGGGCGCCTGTGCGTGCATGCCAAAAATCTTGAGAGAAGAATGGAGGAGAATAGATTGTGGGTGGCCATTCTCCCTGCAGGGTGATATCTCACATTCCCTCTCTCGGTCTCTCTCCAGTGAGAGTATGTACCCTATGGCAAAAATCTAAACACACACACACACACACACACATACACACACACACACAAATACCCTCATGAGATTAGATTGGGCCCACCCAGATAATCCACGATAATCTCCCCATAACCTTAATTACACCTTTAAGGTCCCTTTTGCCACATAAGGTAATGTAGATGCAGGTTTTGGAAGCCGGAGCATCAACCTTGGGAGGGGATCCATTATTTTGCCTGGCATATTCTCAGCCAACTGGGAGACATCTGAAACACCGTGTCGGACTGGGGACCAGCGTGAATCAGCAAAAGGCGCAATCAGACCGGCCCCATGCTGCCCAGGCCAGCTGCCCCCGGCAGGTCTGCTTCCATCCAGTTCTGTCGGTGCTGGCCTAATCTCTCATTTCTGTAAAACCGAAAGGCCTTGGCAGACACACCTTGGCATCGCAGGGTCCCAGCACTTCTCTCTGTCACCTCCATCGTCCCCTTAGTGCAAACTAGTAGGAGCTGGAACCTAACCCATTTCCATTCAAGCACTAGGAATTCAAGAACTGAGTTTACCTGGGTGTAGAGAACACGAGACCTCATTGGACTTTTCTGAGGGAAACTATTTGTATGCGTTTATAGCAAAGTGTTAGAAGAATTTAGCATAAACGGAAACCATCTCCTGACAATTTAGCAGTGTTTTTCCTGGTGTGTATTCTCACACCACCACCAACTTGACCTCTACTGGACACCTGACCGCTTCTTGTTTGAGCTGTTTCTACCAAGTGCAGGAAAGCCTCGTTTCTCGTCTGTTGCCAGTGCTTAGTGGCAGTGGGCGGGGCCCGCAGAAGCAGGCACAGCCAGGCCTGTGAGCCAGACGGTGAGTCAGTGTGCAAGCCACGGATGATAAGAAGGTGGGCCACTGCCAGAGGAGGAAAGGGACCCCTCAGGATGGGGGCAGGAAAGGGCTTAGCTTTCTGTCCTGACCTGATATGGGGTTCGAGCCATGCCTGTTGGTCCTAGCGGTATAAAGAAGAAATACTGCTAGTGGCAGAAATAACAAGGGCTGTTTGCAGGTTTGCAAGGGGTAGAGGACTTTGAATATCCATGTTCTAGTTCTTCCTTGCTCACACATAGCTTCTATTGTCAATATCAGATTGTTTTTCCCTAAAGGATCTCCGACTCACGTTCCCTGAACTGAAGCAGTTCATCAGGAGCTAATCCCTGAGAAACACCGGTTAGAAAATACAATGATGTTGGGACAAGCAGTTGGTGTAATGGCTATGTCGCTGGACTCCCACGTAGTCGACCACAGTTCAAGTTCGGACCCGGTGGCTTAAACTCACACCAGGTGCGTGTGCGTGCATGCCCAAGATCCTGAGAGGAGAAAGGAGGAGAAGGGATTGCGGCATGGCCATCCCCCCTGGGAGGATGATTTCTTACTTTCTGTCTCTCTGTCTCTCTTTGTCTGGCAAGTGTATGCGCCCTATAGCAAAAACCTCTCCAAAAAAAAAAAAAAAAGAAAAGAAAAAGAAAGAAAGCAAAAACAAT